TTTTTTATTGTGGTAAGATACACAAAACATTTAATTTTTTCTTATTTTTGAAAGTATCTAAAAATATAGACTGGGGAATCCCCAGTGAACTCATGGACTGGTTGATGTGGTAGCCTGGATACTCACAGGGTGTCCCCTGCCTTCTGGGGCCCTGCGTCTCCTTACCAAGGACTTCGATGTGCTCCTATCTCTGGCTCTTCTTGTTCATATAAACCATGTTAGCCATATAATATATACTGTGAGGTTCCTCAGAAAATGCAGATTGTCCAGTCTTCTTGGGGAAATGTTGGCCAACAGGCAGAGAAGAAACAACCCGGGGGACTCTTTGCATATCCCATTGCCCATTACACGTGAGTGTGGATGGTACCCGATACTCCTCACTGACCACTGAGAGGCATGGAAGGCCCACACTCACCAGATCTGAGGCTCCATAGCACTGGCCTGAAACAGTGCTCATGCCCCCCAGCAAGTACACCACGTTGAGCACACAGCTGCCATTAGGGTCCTGGTTGTTGAGTTTGTAATAGTCCACATTCTTCTGGCAGAGCCCTGGAGTTTTGTCGATGGCCGTAGCTGAGTAGCCAGATTGGTAGATTAAAGGAGGACACGTCAGGGCCCGCCAAATTGCATTATTAAGGGTAGCTCTAACTCTGCTATTTTCCCTTAATAATATTATTTTTTAAATGCCCATCTTGAAGAAAATGAAGCAAGGTGAAGTCTCACAGGCTTTCCCTTGGCCCTCTCAACTACCAGTATGGTGACTAGTTGGCCTCTTCTCCAGGTCGGTGAACGAGAGTGGGGATTCTACTGACAGTTCCAGGGATCTGTCCACGGGGTGATTCCACCGACCTGCTGCCAGCTGGTCCTCTACTGGCCCAGACACCCAACATCCCAGGTGTGGGGGAGGCATGATCAAGTCTGAGATTCCTGAGTATTGCTGTCACTTGAGTTATGTGTTCAACAGCACTCACAACCTTTGGACATTTCCTCCCCTGTGCCGGGTACATTCAATGGTACATTCAGTGACCATGGGTCCCTTTATGGCAGCAGTGGAAGAAGCACTACCATATATTTTAGTCAAGTGCTGACTACCTTACTGGTTTTCACCATACATTTCAGAAGTTTCTGGGTTCGAAAAATGGGTCAAGTCAATAAACTGGGCAATAAAAAATAACATTTTATTAGTCTGGCTACACTTAGTCCTCTGCACATCCAGTGTTCATAATTTGGCTGTAGAGAGTGACATTTGCTTTGGTGGCTACTGTCTGCCTTTCCCCGGAGCACTGCATGATAGTAGCCACGCCCACTGCATTTTGTGTGTTCGTCCTCTCTGGTTGCTCCTCTTTGCCCTAATTTTATTCACCTTGTTTCTAATAATAAGAAACCTGCCTGCCCTCTAATTTTTGGAGATGCTAATATTTCTGTTGATAGCAGAGAGAACATTTCACCAGTGAAATATCCTCCTGTGAGCCCTAGCCTACTAAGAACCACAAGGTGGGTGGGGACAGGGGAGCTGACGATGCTGTTTGCACTATGAGGGCACCTGCAATGGCTGAACAGCCTTGAATTAAAGCCGGTCCAGGAGCATGTAAATCTCAGCAACCACCTGTATTGATGCATAAACCCTCAGATTTCAAGAAGTCCCTGAGGAAATATTTTGTAACACATGAAGTCATGTGCTCTGGACCAAGACCAGGTAGGGCATGCAGAGATGCACCATTCTCATAGACAGGTGCTGGGAAATACCTGGGACAGTGAAATTCCCATCACAGAGAGGGAGGCTAAATGGAAAGTCAAGCCTGTTGGATGTGAGTGAGGGTTTTCCTTGTTGCCTCTGCCTGGGTCCCAGTGGGTCCACGTGGCTGCTCTCCGTATGCAGCCTGCTCCATGGAGGGAGTCAACCGTTCTTCTTCCTGGGAGTTTCAGGGAGTCAGGCACCAATGTAGGTCAGAGCCAGGACCTTAGAAGCATTGGTTAAGGAGGGAAAGTCCTAGAAATGACATATGGGAGGAGAGAGAGGAGGAAAGAGCAGGACGGCGTCTGCCTCTGGGATCTGGGGGCTGTGTGGTTCTTCTTTAATCAAAGCACTTTCCTCTCTTTTGGTGATCTCCCTCTGTTTTTTGTCTGAAAATACCTTCCTGTCTTATTTCACAGCATAAATTTAAGGTAAAACATTCATGTTGACTTTTTAGGCAGGGAAGTTTTAGAATCTTTGGTTTGACTCAAGACCCACGATTCAGAATCCACATTTTACAAGATACCCAGATGATCCCTGTGCATGTTAAAGTTTGAAAGTAACTGATCTAACACATTCATGGAGGCTATATGTTTGTTTTAGATATGAATGAATTACATCTTAACCTGTTCTGCTTACAACCAACCTGTCAGCAAAATTAACTCTCTTTTTCTTCATTTTGTACATTGCAAGACAAGATTAATGGATGTGTAGCATGGAGCTTGTTACTAGGTATTTCAGGCCTGCCTGGGAACAGCTGTGCACTGCTCCTTCTCACAGATTAACTTATGTCCCTGCTGTTGCTGTGGGGAGGATCCCGTCGGTCCCCACCCCCCACTTCAGAGGCTGTGGCTTTGATCTCTAAATGTTCACAAGATGCATCGTTGTCTGGGATCCTGTGTTCTGCTCTTCCTCACTGCCCTGGGTCCTCACCGTCCCTCCTTTGTCAGCCTGGTGATGCCTTATTTTCTTGTTACTGTCTAACACATTTCAGATATTGGAGTCTAAATAATTGTTTCCTCAGTGAAAGGTTAATAAAAAGCAGAGAATCAAGCTTCTGTCAGATGATGTGTTTGACTTTAGAGGATTCATGCCCAAATGAGTTGACATTTATTCAACATCCTCCCACCCAACACACTGGAGAGGGAAATGCACTGGAGGTCAGGACACTGAGCTGGGATGGTGAGCACTCAGGGGTCTGAGAGCCTGTGTTCACTGGGAGGCTTTGTCCAGCCCTGGGGATGCAGGGGCTCCGCACAGCTCTGACCTCAGGTCACAGGAGACCCAGCTTCTGTCAGGTCTCAGAGCTCAGGGAGTTATCAGTGGAGCCCAGGCTGGCACCAGGAGACTCACAGGGCACTGGGCACGGGCCACCTGGTTCTCTCAGTCACACACGATGCTCTTCTGTCCTCGTCCCCACCCAGCCACTGAGCAGGTATTTTACTTGTGGTAACAATTGTGTTTCTGTTGGGAGACCAGTGACCCAAAAGTAGATATTTCTACTACTTTCTAAGGAGAGGTTGAGTGAAGGGCTGCCCCACCTCACCTGCTTGAGTAGCACAGAGACAGCACAAGCCCAAAACTGAGCTGGTGTTGGTCACAGGCAGGGACAGGGGAATGATGGGTCAGACAGGAGAGAAGGGGCCAGATTTGATCACGTGTGGCCATGGAACAGGTGCTGTCTGTGGCAATGGGGTTGTGTTCGCCTCTCTAACAATGAGCTTCATCCTGAGCCTCAGACTAGAGCCCAGAGGTGATCACATAGGATCTGGTGACACACCAGGATCAGGACAATCAAGCTTGAACCTCTGGAAGCTCCCTCTGTGCTTTCTCAGGTAAGAAAGCTGGGGCCTTGCCTGGGGACCCTGGGGACCATTGCCATGGCACCTCCACTGGGTCTGGGGCTCCCCATGTAAGAGAAGGTGACCTCAAATCTGGGCTCCTTGAGAGCTTCCCAGGGGGTGTGACACAAGAACAGATGGGGGAGCACCTGCTCCTGCTGTCCCACTGCCCAGCCCCCACCCTGGGCTGTTGGAGAGCTGCAGGAGGGTGTGTGTCAGGGGCACAGTCAGTGCCCACAGACTCAGGGATCGACTCCCAGGAGTCTCCATGGTCCTGAGAGGTGTCAGCTGTCAGTCTGACTCATCCCTGGACCCACTTTACCCTGGAGCAGGCTCGGGGATCCCCAGGAATGTAGACGACACCCATCCTCTCCTGTCCACTAAGAGGCCTCCTGATCTCAGGGCCCAGATTTCAACTTGCACAAACCCTCTTCTCCATGACCCCTGAAGGCGCAGGCTCCCAGCCCCAGGTCTGGGCCACTCTGTGCCTGGAGTTCCTCCCACACCTGTGTCCTCATCCGGCATCTCACCACCCTGTACTGGGTCCCTGGGGCCCAGGGTGCTCAGGCAGCCTTGAGCTCAGGGACTGGGAGGGAGGGACTGGCTCTGCTTCAACCTCCTGATTTGGTCTCCTAACTTCAAACCAACTCCATAGGCCTCTCCTCCCTCAGATGCAGGCAGGTCACGTGGACATGGAGCAGCGTGTTCCCAGGGCTCTAACGTCCTCCATGATTTTCCTACAGTTTCCTCTTCTTTGCTGAGAGTTTCTACCTGTTCATTTGTTACAAGTGATTGTCACTCAAATTCTTTCCACGAATATATAAATACATGTGCAGATGATTGATATTGAATGTCTGACCTTAAACTAAACATGTCTTCATTTGTTTAGGTCTCCTTCATGTATCTCAGGATAGTTTGTAATTCTCATTTTGTATCAATTTTGTTTTTCAGTTTTATCTTTAAATATTTCTTTCTTTTGATGCCATTATAATTTTATTGTTAATTTAAAAGTTTTCTTGTTAATTTTTGATGGATTACTGCTGGCATGTCCAGTAGTATTCATTTCTACATGGTGCTCTTGTATCTCAAAGCCCCCATTAAATCATTTAGAGTAGAAACATCACCGAGTCTCCCTGGACTCAGAGCCGAGCAGGGCTGGTAGCAACCATTGTCCACACCTGCAGTGTCTCCACTGGGAGGTTTTCTCCCTGGGGAGAGCTCTCTGCCTCTGGGACAGGGACAGCTGAGACTTAGTGGCGATGGTGAGTCTCAGTTAGGATGAGGGGAAGGCCCGATGGCTGTTAAGAGGAGGCTCAGGTCACATCTGCAGAAGTGGCACCAGGTGTGAGCCCTGCATTAGGCTTGGATTCAGGCAGAGCAGCTGTGAGGTTCCCTGGCAGGAGGAGCCCAGGGAGGTTTTAGTCTCACTTCCTGTGACTCTGCAGCACTGTGCAGCTATAAGGGCTGCTGTAATGTAGAGCACAGTGATAATTGGCCTCGTCCTCAGGCTGGGCCCCCGTGATGGTGAGGGCGGCTTTGTTCCCAGAGATGGATCCAGTGAAGCGCTCAGGGACCCCAGAGGGGCGGTAGTTTGTGCTGTAGATGAGTGTGTGGGGAGCCTGGCCTGGGGTCTGCTGGAACCACTTGGGGTAGTGACTACTAGAGACTGACCCAGAGCTAAGGCCACAGGTGAATGTGACTGTCCCTCCTAGAGATACGGACAGTAATGGCTCCTGGGTGACTACAGTCTGAGAATCCACACCTAAAACCGACAGAAAAGACATGGGTGTTGTTATAAGAGACAAGATCACCCTAAGACTCTGCTTAGTTGTGTCCCCCAAGAGTGCAGAGTCCCCTCCTCTGACCTGAGCTGTAAGTGAGGAGCCCGAGCAGGAGCACCGTCCAGGCCATGGTGGGGACACTCACAGGACACAGCCTCCTAAGGCTCCAGAGGTGGAAGGAGGTGTCCTTGGGGCCTTTTCTTGCCTCCCAGACCCATTAGGAGGAGAATGCGCTTCATGCAAATCCCCTTCCTCTCTTAGTGCCACAGTGTCACCCCGATGTCCCTGGGGGGATGTGGAAAGAAACAGATGCTGCTACCTCACAACACCCATGACTGCATGGTAACCAAGGCCCTAAATCAAGAGTGTTCACCTCTGTCACCATATCAGTTCCCCCCTACTCTGGTGGCCTTAGTGCTAAATGTCTTTGTGAGTCTGCTGTGGCCTACACAAGAGATGACTGTGTTTACCTCCTGGTCCCAGTGATCTAGTTCATCTCCAACCTCACATGTTCTTTAGATTAGAACATTTCTTCCTTCTTCAGCAAAAACCACTCTTGTCTTATTGGAAGGAGGTAGCAGGCACTTTCTCCTCCTACAGGGAGTCCATGGGGAAACCATAGAGTTCATGTCTGGGAGATGGAGACATCGGGTCTTCCCTGACTCAGCTCTGACCCAGCAGCCGCAGTGAAGGAGCCGACCAAGGCTGAGAGTAGACACAGGACTGCACCGCCAGGCAGGGAGGGCAGCTTTCTTCTGTGCTGAGAATCCCACAATTACATGGAGGAGCTTCATTTTAACTGGAGATCATGAGTAAGAAAAGTCACAGCATCACCATGAAGTCCTGAGAACTTCACAACATCAGACACACAAAGTAGGAAACTGTCTCAGCGTCAGAAATAAAAATAACTGTAAATCATGCTTTTGTGTGAATATGATGGAACATTTGAAAGCTGTTTCCCTTTGCACTGGGCTGTGGGGCAGAGGGAGGGAAGGGCAGACCAGGGATCTGGGATGTGAGGGGATGAGTTGGAGACAGAGCGTCTCCTCCCTTCCGGGAAGATGACACATGGTGCGTCGGTGTGAAGTGAAATTCTGTTTGGGGTTCATTTTAAAATTCCAAGTAAATTGTGTGTGGAAGAGAACTTGAATGCTCATTTTTCCTTTCCTTTCATAGGTGTTGAGACCTGAGCTCACAGGAGATAAGATACTTACACCGAATTATTTTCCCTCATTCGACTGTATCTGTGATAGTGTGGAGAGATGCACTATCTAAGTGTACACCCATTGTACTTTGAGATTGGGAAGAGTGTCAAGACACAAGAAAAACAGACAGTTGAATGTGTGATTACTACCAGTCCCATAGGTCATTACACCATTGAAATGAAAGAGAAAGGACAGACTAGTAAGAAACAACACGTTAAACGATGAGGGGAAAAGATGAATGCAATTATTACCAATTTCCTCATCAATACACTTGCAAGTGTAGCAGCAAATGACCCTGAGGTTTGCCATGGGTACAGACTGTCTCAGGCTTTCCCCTGACACTAAGGACTGCCCCTGCCTTTAAGGATTAGGAGCCAGTGTGGTATGGAGGGAATGATAGGCTGGGTGGGGGACACTCCCAGGACCCCACATATGAAGGAGATGCAGCAGCGTCCCCTGTGGGTCCTGAGGGGCACAGCCTGAGTCAGGGAGCACTTTCCTCCCTGCTGTGCTTTCACCTCCGAGAGACGTCCTCTGCATGTTGACCTCGTCTCTTCACATCTGCTTTCCCCAAATTTCAGGTCCAAGGTCACCCAGAGAGGTGAACATATTGTAGCGTCAGTCCAAATCCTCCCTATGATCAAAGAGAAACTGTCTTGATGAGCCATGGGTTCTTCTTGCCCATATATGGAATCATTTCTGAAAACATCAATTATAATTAAAAAATGAGATGCTTTGGGTAATTCTCCAATAATTCTTTTGCATTAAGCTCCTTTGCTTTGCTAGAAGGAAAACATTAATTTAGGTGACACACTCTCTCTCTCTCTCTGGTAGAGGCAGCACTGTGTAATCCAGGACCAGAAGCAGGACTAGAAGGAGGCAGAATTAATGGGACGACCCACCAGCTCTGCCCCGATGGCGGCAGGAAAAGGCAGGGCCAGTGCCTCTTCCTCGACATCCCTCAGGGTCCACGGGAGCCACCTCCTTCTGCAATGAGTGAGGATGTGACAGAAGAATCCAGGCCATGGTGGGGAAGCCCCAGAGCTCTGCTAGCTGAGGCCTAATTGTTGACATCGAGACTGTCCCTGCCTAGGCGTCTCCTACCCTATGCCCAGAGACAACTGTAGGACACATTTTTTTCAAGGAAATTTATTTTTATTGTGTCATCGTCCACCTACCTTGTCCTGTGAATCAGGTCTTGACAATGACTACTTGAGAGGAGGAGGGCGAGATATGAGGCAAGTGTGTGAGTCACAGCTGAATGCTCATGTGGTTCCTGGGGACCAGGTGCAGGACAGTCACACCTCACTGAGGATACTGCCTGCCCAAGTGTGCAAGACCCAGTAAAGTCCTTTCCCAGCTTCCCTGGCCCTGGTCCAGTCCACCAGCGCCCCCTGCTGGTCTCAGAAGACACATCCTCCAGCTCATTACAAGCCTTCAGCTCTCCTGAGAGGGTTCTGCTGTTTGCAGTTGGGTCTTTCTGCTGTGGGCACCCAGGGCAGTAGAATGAGCAGATCCCCTCTGTGACTCTTGGATGAGCCATTAATTTCTTCAGGTCACTGATGACCTCCATGGAGCTACATGAAGCACTGTGTTCCCAGATGTTAAATGATTATGTGATAGTTGAGTTTCCTTCTCTCTGGACCCCTGGCTTGTTGCTGGTACAGGACCACTCGGAGTCACTTTTGAGGTTTAAAGTTCCTCTGGGAGCCCTGTTAGTTCATAGCAGGTCATAATTCCATTTGGGTGATTCTTTCAGGTCGAAACATTCAGTGATTGTTTTTGTTGTTGTTGTCATTATGAGGGTTTCCTGTTGGGTTCCCAGCCTCAGGCACAGGCCTTGGCTTTCTATTCCTGCCTTTGCCTTGAGAACGCAGCCCTGTGAGGAACACACACCTTGTGTTCTTGGTTCCTCCTGCTGGTTCTTATTTACTCTTGACTGGGATGATCATAATACTTCTGACTTTTGAAGAATTGAAGATAATTTTGTCTAATTTTATAAAATTATCAACACAAGGATTGATATTAAAAATATTATTATTAATGGCAGTCTACCCTTTTTGAGGTTCTTTCTTCATCATGGGATTTGGAAACCCTTGTTTTGTATTCTCCAGACTTCATTGACTTGATATAGTTCCTTCCAATACTATTTTGTATTGATTTCCGGTGCACAGCAGAGTGTTTAGACAATCACATCCTTTACAAAGTGTTTCTCATGATATTCCTTGTCCCCACAGGGTCCCATTCCCACTGTGGCAGCATCACTGACCAAATTCCCCATGCTGAGCTTCCCTCCCTGTGACACTCTATTCTTAGGGTGCCTCAGGGGTGTGGTCCCCACACATGTCTCCTCTGAGCCCCTGGCTGCTCTGCTTCCTTTTGTGGACACATTGCTTTTGGTGCAACAGGGAGACGAGTGAGTGAGTGAGTGAGTGAGGAGCAGGATGCACCAGGCTGATTTCTTCAAACCAGATGAGGGCATTGCAGGATAGTGTCTCAGGGTCTGGAGAGAGTGTGGCCTCCTGAAGCCATGTGACCAGCAGAGAGCCCACCCCCTGGGAACCCTGCCCTGAGAAGGAGGCAGTGGGGGTGACAGGGGATGTGCATGAGGAGGCCTGGAGGTGGATAAGAGCGACTGGACGCCCTCCCCTGCACAGACGCAGAATCCTGTGTTTGTGCTGCTCTAGCTTTTCCATTGGCCTTTATTTCCTTGCCCCCAGAGCTGGGGCTGCCACGAGGGTTCCAGCTCACAGTGACACTTCCAGAATCTTGCCTGTGCCCAGCTTCAGCCCTGAGTCCCCTGCCTGTACTGCTCACACCACCCCTCCCCGCTGGATTGTCAGACATAGCTCTGTAATTTTACTGGGGACAAGTAGTTCCCTCAGTGGAAATTACATGCCAAGAACCTCCTTTCACCCCAACACACATGGCTCAGAACCTCAACACAATAACTCAGTAGCAAGAAGCCAGATCCTCTCCTCATGAAAAAGTGACAGTTCAAGTAAATCTCTGTGAGTGGAAATGAAGGGCACAATGATCCAGTGAGTCTTTGTGCTGTCCTGAGAAGTTAGTGTCCCCATGAGAACCTCAAACCATGGTGGCAGCTGTTGCTAACCTGTCCGTCACAGAGATGAAGTCAAAGTACCAACCCAGCTCCCTGTCCTGTGTGGTCCTTCCCTTGTTCACTCCTCCTGTCTCCACGGTGGCACTGGTCTTCTCTGTGTTATGCCGCCGTCCCCCACCTGGGCCGCCAGCCTTCACGGTGCACCTGCCCTTTCACCTTTTTAGAAACTGGACTTCTGATAAAGCTGATATCACATTTTGTCTCTTCCTTAAAAACCTCTAAGAGCTTCCTGGTGTCCGCCACTTTTTTATTCATGTGTCCTCTTTTCACACCCCATGATGTGCTTTATTCCTACTATGTATTGACTCTGGCTCCCTGTATAGTGTCCTGATGGGGGGACCCTGCCTGTCTGGTCAGTGTTGTTTCCTGAGCCACAGAATCGAGCCTGACACACCCAAGCCTGACACATTGTATATGTTCAGGAAAACATTAAGGACAGACAGACCTCTGTATCTATGGTTTTCCCTGATCTGACCCAGCTGGACTCTGTCCCTGTTTGGACCAGCCCACCCCAGACTCTGTCTCCAGGGCCTTTGATGAAGGCTGAGAAGGGTGCCCTTCCATGGCCAACTTTGGGAGGATGAGGCTGCGTTCTTGAGTTAGCCGTCCTGACTTGAGTGCTAGGGCCAAGTTGGGGCTCAGTCTAACAAAACGGTAGACAAACGTGCCAACAAAAGCTGTCTCCACTGTGGGCATCAGGTGCTACAGGCAGGGTCACAGTGTTGGCTGGTCCCACAAGTTCCTGTCTCACTTCCCAGCAGGCTACAACTCAATGTGACAACCAGCTTTGGGTGGAGCCCAGAGATGCTCTGCAAGGCTGTGTTACCAGACACCATAGCCTGAAAAGCA